GTTGAGTGCCTATATATTCCAGATGTTTATGAAACACCTATGAAGTAGATGCGGCATTATTTCCAATGTATAAAATTTAAATAAAAGGGTCAATGATGTACAGTGTGTACATGGCAGAGCTAAGATTCAAAGTTCAGGTGCTAAACCAGTCTGCCATTTTGACATCTCCTAATTTGGAAGGAACTCAAATTTCCTGAGGCTATAACATGTTGGGTTTAGAATACATAGCCTTCAGGAGTGGTTTATTTCAGTCCATTTACTGTGGGTCATTTTCTCTGCTTGAACCCTTTAAACGCTAATAGGACCCATACAAATGTCTGAACTTGACAAACATTTGAAAAGCAAACATCAATGAAAAACATATAAAAGCCTTTAGTGGGCTCTCAGGAGTTTTCCTAAATGAATCAGAGGAAGCTTAGAGGGGAACATCAAGCTGACCATTAGCACACATTTGTAGAGTCACAGATGTGATGCTTTTTAAAGCAGATTTGCATTTGTGAAAGGTCACTCTCCATTGAGTATTTGCACTTAGGTCTAAGACATAAGAAGGCCACTTTACCTCGTTCCTCCAATTTGTCTGTTCCATGATCAATATCAGAGTCTAGACTAGCACGACTACAGAATCTTACTGCTGCTTAATTTCCCAGAAGATCAACTGGGCTTCCTGAGCGATCTCGGGTGGACAGCACAGAGAAGTGCATTGGAGAGGCAGATGTCCTTATGTTCCACTAAGATGCACAATTAACAGAGCTGAATGCTTCCTGTTCTTCATCCACAACTTTGTGGAGATGGTCCAGCAAAATGTTTATGTATGAAATAAAGAAAATGCTACAGGACTGAGTCACAGAGCCCTGCTTTTGAAGAAAATTCAACGTATGTGGCATTTCACACTCTGTCTAGCAATGACCTGAAAATATGCAGCTCTTGATAGGCTCTTCCCCCTGGTAGAGCCTCTTGCCTTCCATCGGAAGACTGCTTAGTTTCAGGCTCAAGCACTGATGGCATGATCGATTCAATGGACATGAATTTGAGCAAATTCCGGGATGTAGTGAAGGACAGGGAAGCCTGGCATGCTGCAGTCCATGGGATCGCAAAGAGTCAGACACGATTGACTGACTAAACAACAGCAATAACAAGCACTGAAGTTATCTTTATTCAAAGACATTAAAACAGGTCCACAGGAGTCCCCCTTGGAAGGCAGCCTTTAATTCCTCTTCCTCATAGTCCTGTCCAACCTAAGGTCTTCAGTCCCAGGGACTAGGCATCTGCCTTGACTGAGATCATGTTCTAATTTATACATATAAGTTTATGGTACTTAACCTTTCTTTCCTTCCCTGTGTCTGCATCCTGTGCCTTGGAAGACTACATCCTTGGGAGCCCAAGTCTAACTACATGTGGATATTTCTTCCATCCAGCAAAAATGTACTGACTACTTACTCTGTGCTGGAAAACATAGCGATGAACAAGAGAGAGACATTTTCTGCTCTCATGCAGCTTCCAATCTAGGAAAAGGAGATGACCAAAAATGTAAATTAAATGTGTGTGCTCAGTTGCTCAGTCATGTCTGACTCTTTGCGACCCCATGGACAGAAGCCCACGAGGCTCCTCTGTCCATGAAATTTTCCAGACAAGAATACTGGAGTGGGTTGCCATTTCCCCTTCCAGGGGATCTTCCTGGCCCAGGGATCAAAACTGTGTCTCTTGAGTCTCCTGCATTGGCAGGCAGATTCTTCACCAAAAATGCAAATTAAATAAACAAGAAAAATCAGATGCTAAGAGAAGGCCACGGCTGAGCAAATACCCAATGATCTAAGGGAACAAGAGTACAAACGTGGTAGAAGCCATTCAAGGTGGAGGGCAGTGACAACAAAGTGAATTAGGAAGCCTATCCTTGGTGTGTGTGAGAAAAGTTATAAGGGCCATGTGACATTAAAAGGGGCAGAGTGGCAGTGAATGAGGCCCTGGCTTCTGTGCCTTGGTAAGTTTCACAGAGTCCGTTCACTTTTAGCAGTGACACTGACTTCCTATTTCTGTGCATCTCTGAGTTGCCTCACTGTCCCATGTTTTTCTTCTCTGCTGTCTCATCAGCCATGTATCTAATACCAAGTGCCAGATTCTCTTTATTGAAATATCTAAAGTGCTTCCTGTTTCCTGGCTAGACACTGCCAGACTCACACGTTAAGTACTTAACATAAATTACCCTGCCCAATCCTCAGCCTGAGCAGTGGATGAGATGGGTGGGTAGGAACTTTCATAATTATTGCTATTTTTCAGTTAAGAACATTCCATTGAAAGAATGTGTATAATTCATCAAATGATTAGTAAATGGTGGAATCAAAGTTTGTTGTTGTTATTCAGTCACTAAGTCATGTCTGACTCTTTGTGACCCCATGAATTGTAGCATGCCAGGCTCCTCTCTCCTCCACTATCTCCTGGAATTTGCTCAAATTCATGTCCATTTAGTCGGTGATGCTATCTAACCATCTCATCCTCTGCTGGCCCCTACTTCTTGTAGTTTCAATATTTCCCATCATCAGGGTCTTTTTCCAACTTCAATCTCAGCAGTTCATCTCCAGAAACCATACCACCTGACTTTTATGCCTATTGTCTCCTTTGAACAAATATCTGGGCTCTGCATTTCTCCTATGCATTTGACATACAGTTTGTGTTTCTGAAGTTTGCGCTGTTACTTTTATTCTAGCTTCTAAAAATAACTTAGATTATAAGATCACCCTCTTCTGGGTCTGGCATCTAATGGATATTTTCCCTCTTCCCATTCCTGACAGACTGTTCTCAGCATGACATCCATTTTTTAAAGGCTGAGTTGATAAAAACTCTCATAATCTTGTTCAAGGTTATGTAACTAAGAAACAGGAAAGGTCACTTTCAAATCCGGGTTAATTTGAGTTTCAATCCAGCTTTCTCATTTCAAATAGTGTTGCCAAGAGTAATTTCTTTGCCTTTGTTAGTATGAAATGGAAATATATCATTGGTTGCTGAGAAGAGTGAGTTAACTTCTGCTAACTATAACAGTTCCTTGTACATAGATGGTACTTGACCGTTAGCTATAATTAATCAAAGTATACCAGATTTACCTGTTTCTTCAATTGCTTATTTGACATCTTCATTTGGTCTCCTATCTTAAATTCAATTTGTTATGTCTCATATCTGTATTTCATTCATTGTTTTATATCTCAATAAGCTATCTATTCAACAATCCAAGGTGACCCAATTCTCTCCCTAAATTCCCCTACCTAATCAGTCATGAAGCTCATATGTGAATGTTCAGGGTTAAAAATTCATCCAAATTGCCCCAGAATTGTCCCAGTTTCAACACTGAAAGTCTATTCTAGGAAAACTTGGAAATTTTATCATTCTATGTCTCTTTATTAAAAATTTCCCAAATAATTTTATTTCTCCCTATTCCTAATCTAATCTGTCATTTTTGTTCTCACCTGGATTACCTCAATAGCTTTCCAACTGTTCTGAAAGCTTCCCGTTTTACATGGCCAGAACAAGTCTTTAAAAGACCAAAATCTGTTCTTATCACGCGCTTAAAAAATTTCACTGGCTTCCTAATTCTCATGGGATAAAGCCCCAGGCCTTTAATTGGTTTGTATTTTCCTGAGTGATCTGTCTCCTGTTTTCCCATCAAAACTCATATCTCACAACAATCCTGTCTTCTTGTCTTTGCCATACTGGACTCCAGACACCCTGCAAGTCACTTAGTAGATGTGCTGTCAGGACTGTTGCTTATTGTTAGCCAGTTGTGTATTACTCAACCCCAGGAGCACTCTACATCTTGTAGCCCAGGTTGAGTTGTATGTTTTTTATGACAATTTTTTCAGTAGACAAGAAACAAACTAGTTTAAGGAAGGAGTCATCTATCTGTAAGGATAGGTTAAGTTAGGCTGCAAACCAAACAATGCCTAAATGTCAATGGTTTCATAAAAAAACACTTATTTCTTGCTCACATACAACTACTTCAAATCCACGGTGACTGTCTTCAGCAGCAATCCTTCATTCTTTGTGATCCTGTGATATTTTGATTTTTGCTGCTGCCATTTCAGTATGAATACTTTGGCCACCTGATACAAAGAGCTGACTCATTTGAAAAGACCCTGATACTGGGAAAGACTGAAGGCAGGAGGAGAAGGGGATGACAGAGGATGATATGATTGAATGGCATCACTTACTCCAGGGACATGAGTTTGAGTAAACTCCGGGAGTTGGTGATGGACAGGGAAGCCTGGCGTGCTGCAGTCCATGGGGTCACAAAGAGTTGGACATGACTGAGCAACTGAACTGAACTGATTTCAGTATGAAGCTCCCTCCACAGTTGCTGAGTCAGAGGGAAAATATACTGGAGGATCTTGCATTAAACTTTACTTAGGGTTGTCTGGAAAAGACACATAGCACTTCTCTCAGAACCATAAACTAGAGTCATCATATAGGCTGGAGTTGTAAAAGGAGTTGATGGGAAAATGTCATCTTTCCAAGTTCATAGAAAGAGGGGGAAACTGGGTATGACTTAGCATCAAGTATTTCTACCATGAAAATTTCAACCTAATTTGTACAAATTTTCCTTTAAGTTTAGTGGGATATACTTCTGAACACTTAAGCCATTGCTTTGTCTGTGCAATCATGTTCTTGAGTTTGGGGAGGGCACCTGGTACTTTAAACCTGGAACAGGCATGTGGGGATGTGGCTTCCTAAGCAACAGGTAGCCAGCATGATACCAAGTTGGAGGAAGTGCTAAACAGGACAAGCACTTCACCAGACAGTGGCTGGCTAGAGGGAATCTTGAAGGAGAGTGGTCTAGAGCTTTTATGGCATGATATAGCTTAACTTGGTCAAAAGTTCTCTGGACTTGATATTGCTTGCACTTGATCAAGAGTTCAAGTCCACTGACTGATTGTGGGATCTCAGTTGTTTAATATCCCTGAATTTGTTTTTGTATCTGTCAAAAGGGATTATAATTGCCCTATCTTCCTTCATAGGCTCATCTGAAGAATCACATGAGATGAAGTATTTTTCGTGAAGAGTGCACTCTTGGTTGTACTAGGTTGAATGGATGTGGAAGCACAATGGAAACTCTAAAGTACTCTATAAAAATATAACATAGCATTATTACCACAATAATTATCAGGGACAATTAAAGTGAACCTAGAGTAGGAGGATCATGGTGATCTCTTTTGAGTATTCACCTGAGTGTATCTCCCTTAATTTGTATTCCTAGAGGGAAGAATGTGAAGACATATTGACTTCATTCCATATTTACATATTATTGATTGCCACTAGTGTGCATTGAGTGAAAATCTTTATGAAAAAAAATGGTGCTGTTGCAGCAGACTATACTGTGGCAGCTTTATTCACTCTTCTCTGAGGATTGCAGCCCTTTAACCTTGAGATAAGATAAAAAAGTAAATATTTCAAGTAAAGAGCCTAAGATTGCCATATTAAAACCAAAAAAATGCAATACATGGATATTTAGTTCTGATACACTGAATCCAATTGTAAAATGACATCGTCTAGATAGAGAAATTTGAATATGGACACTGTGTAAGATGAAATTAAGCGACTGCTGTTAGTTTTATTAGATGTATTACTATCACAGTGTTAGGGAAACCATACAAACAAAGCATGACCTTATCATTCAGAAATTCATACCGAAGCATTTACACATGAAATGACATGGCATCGGGGATTTGCTTTAAACCAACCTAGTAAGCAAATAAATAAACAAAATTAGAAAAGGCACTCATAGATGAGAGGTGACCCTGGCTAAGCCATGATTATTGTTGAAACTGAGGGCCTTGATAGGAAGGGGTTCATTTGCATATATTTATGTTAGAAAATTTCTATAATAAAAGAACTTCAAAAATTTCCACATAGAAGAATGAAGTAATCTTGGGGGTGTGGAGGAGTTTCTAGAATGCTTTTATGAACAATGAGTACTTTTGGAAACATCACAAGCAACTCATGCCAAGAAGAGGATTATTGTACTTCACTCTGGAACCTATCCCTTTTCTAAGGGTGACTAAGAGATAAATCCCAACTTGTGCTCATAACAGAATAGTACAGTCAGTTCTCTTTCAAAGAAGGGGGGAAATTGACAAGAAACTGACAACTGTTCTTCAATCACCAAAAATAATTTGAAAGTCAAGTTTTTCTCAGGTCAGTCCTCTTTGTTTTCTATGTGGGCCCCCACCAATGACTGTTGAATATTCTAACATCTTGTAGACCTATTTATCTAAATATGTGTAAGTATGTTTAAATGTACGCTCAATTCCTTTGTCTTCTCAATTCCATGCAGCAAATCACTGATGCAAAGCCATGGAAACAGCTAAAGTTTTCGGAAATGTGAAGAGAGCTGAAAAGGATATTAGTGATGATTAACTGACTTTCATTTATTGGGTTGTTCACACATTTAACAAAATTTGAGTGCCCACATGTGCCAGGCACTATGCTAGGCACTAGGACTCAAGTGGTGACTCACTTATGGAAGTTACAGTTTAATGACCCAGGGACCCCACATCTTATTATTAATAAGGGCGTAGGGGAGCCTGGTTGGCTACAGACCATGGGATCGCAAAGGGTCCGACATGACTGAGCAACTGACACACACAGAAAACTGAAGAAGGTAAAGCATGACCGTGCACGGGTATAAAATCACACACTAGGCAAAGCAGACAATCAGACAACATCCACAAAAACCAGGAGTTTTAGCTTCATCTCTGATAACCAGCTTGCCCTGTTTTCACTCTCACCAATCATGGCACACATGTGACAACTAGACAAATCATTCTTCTACCCCCTAAACATGTCACCTCATTGAACGCCTCTGGATCTATGTCCCGGCCTGATCTGGCTTCCCTCCTCTGTCCTCGAGAGGACTGACTCCTCGTCATTCTTCAGAACCTAGAGTGCACATTACCGAGAGTGCACCCTTACTGTGATATTCCCTTTTTTGTCACCCAGAAGAATTACATCCTCTCTCACATCTTTTCTCACAACCCTCTGTGCAGATATGTGCTGTAGCACTTAAGACCTGTATTGTCATTTTTGTTTGTTTATACATCCAGCCTTCATGCTGAACTCTGAAACTCTCAAGGTAGAGTTTATACATGCATCCCTGTAACAGCAATGCCTAGGACCTTGCCTGAATCATAGTAGGTGATCAACAGAATATATTAAACAAGTGAAAGTGTTAGTCATTCAGTCCTATCTGACTCTTTGTGATCCCATGGACTGTAACCTGCCAGGCTCCTCTGTCCATGGGATTCTCCAGGCAAGAATACTGGAGTGGGTTGCCATGCCCTGCTCCAGGGGATCTTTCCAACCCAGGGATCAAACCCAGGTCTCCTGCATTGCAGACAGATCCTCTACCATCTGAGCCACCAGGTAAACCCTGATGAATAGATATATCAATGAATCATATACATGAGCTTTTGATATAAAGGTTTAGTTCCCTAAGACCAGTATACAACAATTCTTTCAATCAAAGTCATAGGATTTCAAAGTTGGAAGAAATCTTAGAGATTATCTATTCTAAACCCATAATTTAGCTTTCAAGTATACATTATGATGAACTGGACTTTCCTGGTTGGCCTAGAATGAATTGCCTTGTTATGCTTTGATTACTGTAATGATTCTGTGTTAACAGATTCAGAAAGAAAATAGAAGAGCCAGGACACATGAGAGAGAGGAGCAGGGAGAAGCCAAGGCAAAGTTAAACATTTACAAAGGGGCTTATCTGCCTCTGGAAAATGGTCACATACTGTCCTAATGACCTCCCTGTTTAATAGTGTGGGCCCCTCCCTCGCCTCCTGATTCCCTTACCCTGTTCTAGTCTTTCAGTTTTCCCATGACACTTATTAACTTTTAACATGCAATATCACTTATTTATTGAGCATGCACATTGTTTAATATCTTCTGGTTCCTGATTTGGTGCTCCTTTCAATGTATTCGTTTATGCCTCACAGGTTTATTACTTTCACAGCAAACATTGAGGTTTGGAGGCCACAGGGCAGAGAGCAGTAGGTATCAAACCATCTCTGGTGAAGGACTTGTTTTTGAATTTCCAGTCGTTCATGGATTTATGTGTGGTCCTATTGCACATACCAGCATGCAGCCCACGTCACATGTACTTTATCATGTGCGTTTGACAACACCAGAATTGTTCTTTACCTGTTCACTCAGTTGAATCTGCTGATCATGCTCTTGGCAAAGGGCTATAACACTGCCTAGTGCTCACTCTCAATTTTTGTACTCATCTCATCACACCTGGGGCTTCCCGGGTGCCTCATGTGGTAAAGAATCTGCCTGCAATGCAGGAGACCTGAGTTTGCTCCCTGGGTTGGGAGAATCCTCTGGAGGAGGGCATGGCAACCCACTCCAGCGTCCTTGCCTGGAGAATCCCCTTGGACAGAGGAGTCGAGCAGGCTATAGTCCGTGGGGTCACAGAGAGTCGGATACGACCGGGTGACTAAGCACAGCAGCACACAGCATCACACGCTGGTCGTGGATTGGGACCCATCCCCAGACCACCTTTTTGACTTGAGGGTCCACTGACCTGGGTTTGAATTCTAGCTCCACCCTTCCCCAGTGAGCCTTCCTGGTCTCAATTTCCTCTTCTGCAGAATGAGGATAATTATAATGGCCCCCATAAAGGGTTGTTGTGTAAGTGACATAAGTTTATGCACGTGAATGGCTGAGAACAGTGCCTGGCACAGAGTCAGTGCTCAGTAAATGTCAGCTCTTATTGTTACCACTTGACCTTTTCTCAATCAGGAATACTCCCTTCATCTCATGGTTACTGCATTTCACAGCCACGAGTACCCTGGGGGTGCAGGAGAAGATGGCTGTGAGGCTTGGGGAGGATAGCAGCAGAACAGCTGTCTAGAGATGGAGATAATTCCCCTTTCCTTCCTCTTTGCTTCTCAGCAGCAGAGGCGCTCATTCTGTGCCCCTAGCAGGGGAAGGAGAGAGAACTCATTGTCCTAGATTTGAATGGCCAAAGATGAGAAGAGATGTTTTTCTTGGCCTGGAGATGCCTGTGAGTCTCTCCATTCTGCAAGGAAGCATTCACTTCTGGGTAGAGCTCAGCTTGTCCCAGAAGAGGTGAGCATGTGAGTAACGTGAACCCTTGCGTCACTCTCTGAAGAGTTCAGACCCCAACTTTCATCCTAATTTCATGGGCACTGCCTGGATTCAGTCAACACCTCTTTGGGGAAATACTTTTTTGGAAAGTTAGTAATGTCCTGAGATGCCATTGTTGTTTAGTCGCTCAGTCATGTCTGACTCTTTGCGACCCCATGGACTCTAGCCCACCAAGCTCCTCTGTCCATGGGATTTCCCAGGCAAGAAGACTGGAGTGGGTTGCAATTTCCTTCTCCAGGGGAATCTTCTTGACCCAGAGACCAAACCCCTGTCTCCTGTGTTGGCAAGCAGATCTTTACCACCCAGCCACCGGGGAAGCCAGTGTCCTGAGAGCCGTGATGCAAATGTCCTAGAATATGACCTCTCCATCCTAGATGAACATTTATTTGTTGAAAGGATTTGTGTATATAAGCGTAAGCCACTTCCTAAGGATGTTGAGTAAACACAGCACTTTGACATATTGACACTTAAAACAGATAAAAGAGAATAGTCAAGTAATAAACAAGGAAGAAATCTGTTTACTAAGCTGGTTCGCTTAATTTAACCAATACTTCAGGGATGGCAAAACTAAACTTTTATGAGTATACATACTTAGCATTGAGTCGGCTAAAAAGTTCATTTAGGTTTTCTGTACCATCTTATGTAGAAAGCCAAATGAACCTTTGGCCAACCCAGCACCACAAACTTTTGTATAGCACCTCCTATAAGCTAAAGGTTTATATGTTTTTCTTCTTTTAAGGATTTTATGTTTTAATTAATTTAATCCCCTTAAAGTCAGATACCAAGATTGTCTCTATTTAGAGATCAAGAAACTAAGATGCAAATAGGTTAAGTGATTCCCCCAAGGTTACAGGCTAGCAAGTGGCAGAGTTGGGATTTGATTCCCCCAAGGTTACAGTGTAGCAAGTGGCAGAGTTGGGATTTGAAATCAATCTGGAGTTAACACCCAGGTTCTTAACTGCCATGGTACCATACAGGATGGTTAGATCTCCATTTATGGTCAAGTATATAAAAAGTTTGACTGTTTAAGCATCAGGTGAAAAGGCGGAGCATTTGGTCAGTGTGATGTGTGGCTCTAGATGAGTTACTTTCTGTCTCTGAACCTTAGTTTGCCAATCTTGTGAATGGAAGGATTTGATAAGACACTTCTTGAGGGCTCTTTTAGTCACAGCATCCAAAGATTTTCTGCCTCTAATAGTGTTTCCTTCTTAGCAGCTGTTTTGTCTCCCCATCTCTCCTTTGCTTAGCACCTCCTACCTTTCCTGATTGCCATCATTTATTGCCTGACTTCTATTGCAGCAGGCTGAAAGGAACATTCCATGTTGTTTCTGAAAAAGGTTAACAACTCCACCAGGCACAATCCTGGGAGAGATCCAAAAGTGTAAGGGTTCCCACATGGGACAAAATTAAGGATCACCTATCTCTTTGTTATGTCCAACCACCCCTTTTGCCCACCCGAAATACAGACGTCATAGAAAAGTCCAGGATCAGAGAACAAAGGAAAGATCCCTTAAAAAGTCCCTAAATTATAAAGTGAAGTTGCTCAGTCATGTCTGACTCTTTGCAACCCCATGGACTGTAGCCTACCAGGCTCCTCTTTCCATGGGGATTTTCCAGGCAAGAGCACTGCAGTGGGTTGCCATTAGGAGCCTCCAAAACCCTGAGACTGTATATATATATATTATATATATATATATATATATATATATATATTATTCACTGATACATCCCCAAGGCACAGCATAGCACCTGCTACACATTTAACACCCAATAAATATTTGTAGTATTAAGAAGACTAGGTTCACCCCTGTCCTGTGCATAATTCCACATTTACAATCACTGTCAGTATCTGTAGATCTATGTAGAGTATAAAACCCCTGCAAATCCATTCTCTCATATATTTACAATTATCTCACTTAATTCTGCCTTGTCTCTAGTGCACCAAGAGAAATTCAGTTCACTTCCTAGTTTTTAAGAGGACTTCCCCTTGCAAGAGTGGAAACCTCTTTTCTCTA